CTGCTGATAAGACCTTGGTGACCAGGGTCCCATATGGATGACGCATATTCTAATTTAGGACGGACTAAGGACTTGTATAAGGTTAGTTTAAGCCGAGGGAAGTGCCAGACTTGTTCCGTAACTGCCGAAATAAATCCTACTTTGGGGATTCGGAGCCTGCCGAAGTATGGCTTTTCTCCGGCTGGCCACTGGAGCGCCAAATAAGTGCCTAAGAAAGCTCAGAGGCCTCCCGAAGTTTGGAATTTCTCCGGTGTGCCACAAAAGTGCTTTGGCCAGAAGAAAATAAATTAAACAAGTGTTGGAAACACCATAGCCAAATATCATCATCTCCGTTCTCAAGCATCACGGCAATGTTTGGCAGTGCGGTGCCAGTACCGTCCGAAAGTCGGTTCTATTAATATCGCAAAAATTTCCAGTTTTGCACCACTGTTTGATATCCGGCACGTATTGCCGTAGAGTCGCTTTATATTGGACCAATGTTCGCGCAATATCGTGCGAATACTCTACGATAAGTCTGCTTTATATTGGTCAGACGGCGCGCTTGTCTGTTGTATATAGTACGTTGCATGTCAATCACGTACACGGACAAACAAAATGTTTTCGATCGCTCCCAGAAGTTTATTAAACCGCTATCACTGCACTCAGCTTACTCTCGGGATATTTACAAAGGTCATACTTTTCTGTAAAACGAAAAGCAAATGATAAAATAAAATTAACACGGTTTTCATGCCAAGAAAAACTCAGAAATAAAAAAAAAAAACGTGGAGATTCAGAGGAAAGCAGGGCTACTATCAGAAGCATGCTTGCAGTGTACTTTCTAATAAAACAGCGACGTCATTTAATTAATTCATGATAGATACCTAATTCGACTCGGGCAGACCAAAATACAAAACCGAGAAAGAAGATTGCGCACATTCAACTGACGTCTCGTCGTAGGCGAACAGTAGGTTTAGTCGATGCGCGTCCAACAAACAGAGCACAAGAATTCCCCAGACTCCGACAAAACAAATGGCCATTAAAAAAAAAAAATTGGTATGGACGTATACTAGCCGTTTTCGACGAAAAACAACGGCCGCGTCTGCAACGCACGAGAGCAACGGAACACCGAAAGGTGTTCCGTTGCTTGAAACTTGAAACTTCCTCTTTTCCTGCCTCAGTCTCAGGCTAACATCAGAATGGTTAATTTCCACCAGCTCGCCTGCGCACTCACTACAATACCGAAAGGCGCATTTCAGACACAGGACCTACGTGGTCCATCTATTTCTATAACTTGGCCATCGGCGAAAACAACAGCCCCAAATATCCCATCAGCGCGACAGATATAATCACGTGACAAATTTTGTCCAAGCGTTTTTGTCCTACGTGCTCTACGGAGAGAGGTCACGCGTTTCGCTCCACCCTTCTGATCTCCTTAAAGCGGCCGTCGCACAAAGATACAAAAGCAGGTGGGGAGGCTTAGCAAAAGGTGAGGTCGAAAGGGCATGAACAATTCATCTAAGCGCCCTCTGCATTTTTGACAAAAACTGAAAACATTCCATGCCTTCTACCCGAGACTTAAAATATCACCTTTGGGTAGGGTGGGGAGGGGGTGGTGGTGAAAGGCTGAGGAAGAGGAGTGTTTGGATTGATGCCATCAAATGCTTCAAATGAACTTTGAAAAAAAAAAAAGTCCCTCCAGCATTTTATTTTAGTTCCCCCGAGTGTGAAGTGGGCACAATACCACAGAGCCATGGTCGCTTCCGCTTCTTGTTAGCAGTAAGATTTGCCAGCGCTCAATCACAGTGCAAGACACGCACAAAGCTACGCTCGCTTTTGCTGTGCGCCGCCTAATAATGGTACCTGTTGAGGAGACGTGCCCACATCAGTCTCGCGCACGCTTGCTCGATGGCAGCAGCGTCTGCAACGTCGATCCAGTCTCACGGCCCTTGCCAATGTCGGTGTCTGTACCTATGCGCGAGTACAACAAATCGACACAATCTGCGTTTGCAATGCGTTGTCCAGTCGCGGCAGAATTTTCGACCCACCTTTGGCCTGGAGAAATCAAGAGACACCAAAAATAAAATCAAAAGTTTTGAGCAGAATAAAATTGATTTCTATTTAATGAAGTTCCTGACCACCCGCGTCATGCAATACCTCATCAGCCGCGAAAGGCAGTAAGCCTAGTTCTGACGCTTGTTTGGTGAATTTGGCTCATAGCTACCAGATGACAGACGAACTATCAGGAAGCGAAGCGGAACTTTGTGACTTGTTTGGCGACTTGGGCCCAAAGATGCCTGATGGCAGCTCAATTACCAGCCAGTAAGCCTCTCTGGTGCTCGTTTGGGAATTTTGACCCAAAAGAGGACAGATAACAGCCGAACACCAAGATAGTGAAGCCTAACTTTGGCACTTATTTGGCAAATTGGGGCCAAAATACCCTAACTCTTGCCAAAGAAAGTCACAATTGGCTCTTTTTGGCTTCTTCAGGTTTTTCATGTCCCTAAACTCCCAAGCATTTGCCAAATTTTGGCCCGGAGCTCTGTGCTACCTGGATCGCCTTTACAGCAGTAGTTTATTCTGCCAGAACATTGCGACAATGTTACCTACCGTAGATTAGCCATTTAGCCACTGCAGCATGACTGGTAACCTCGGGTCTTTAACGTGAACCACACAGTAGTGATACACGACAGCACGCCGGTATGAAGGTCATTTAGATCGAAAGGGGCAGGGCGGGGATTCAGATTCAGAAGGCGTTTTATTGCCACAAAATCGAGAAAAAGGTGGGGGTGTTATGCCGTGTGGCATCTTCGTCTGGGTACGCGGCACTAGGAAAGAAAATAAGGTAGTAAAGATTCTACACATACACGTCCAGCTTCGCTTTTAGCACGAAGTTATTGAAACTAAGCTGGCCCTATTTTTTCTGATGGTTTTTTGGGGCGAAGGAATTCATTTAGCTTAGGGTCAAGGAAGTCATTAGGAGTTCCTCTGTTGCATTCCGGGTATTATGAGTCAACTCTGTAGGGAAAGCTCGGTTGAAAGAACACTTGATCATTGTGTCCGAGCGTGACTGACGTGATCACAAAGCCGTTGAGTGGCGTGGGGTTTTAAGCATTTACCTCTCCCTTCATCCACGAAGTGCAAGGCTGGGAATCGTCCTGGTCTGCTGCCATTGCGAAAGCAAATGTGGTGCTTTGTTTGCACTAACTAAACAGGCCTCGCGTTGGGGCGCCAGATGTGGGGTTCCTCCTTGATGGTAGATGCCACGCAGAAGCACAGTACCACTACGTTTGCCCGAAGGCCAACAAGGTCCTAGATGACGGTGCTGCCTCTGTTGACAGCATTACCACTCGGAGTCCGTGCTGCCTCTACTGGCAGGATCTCGGAAGGGAGAAGGTTATGACAAGAGAGCAGGGCCCCGTCGAGCAGAGCCTTCTCCTCCGAGGGTCGAGCTTGACCGTTGGTTTTCGCTCCCAGAAGAGGCGAACGCGTCCAAGTATGGAAGTGCCAAAGGAGTTCCTGTGGAAAATTACCCGAGGGGCGAGGGAGAGCCGTCCACGGAGGAACACGACCTCGCATCGAATACGGGACGCGCTCCGACATGGCGACGCCCCACGGCCTACCTGAGCTGAGCATAGAAAGGAATGCGGAGATCCACGTGGTTTCTTCACCACCTCTGGAGTATATATATATAATCAATTACAACGACCTGATATCAGGATGTTTCACGCCATCATTTAACCTGCAGCTTTCTTCAGAAATGCAGATAAAAAAGTAAAATTGGGAGAAACGAGAGAGCGAGTGTGTTTTTTTTTATGTGATTGCTCACCATTTCACGCTCACATTTTAGCTATAATATGCATATCAGGGACTTTTATTCAAACTTGTGCACTATTTTGGAGTAAATATTTTTATTTTTTCCAAGAAAATTAAATATTTCGGAACATCTTTTAGATAAAAGACTGCGCAAACGGCAATCTTAGTGGATAGTTGGTTTTCAAATTATTTACCATTGAAACGGTTGAGGTGTTTTTATATGTCTGAATTTCGCACTAAGTGATGAACGATAAATGAGGTTGAAACGTAAGTTGTTTGGAAGAGAGGTGTCATTATTTTTACGTTTTGACAAATATAAATCCTCCAAACCATACTAAATGCTGGTATTCAATGCATTCCAAGATCCCTTGGAACCCCAAAACTAGATATGTCAAAGATGTTTTGCAATGCAAGTTTATAATGATTAAGCTTGATTTTATTTTGTAAAATACATAAAGAAAATGGTGCATACCTCGGTTTCGCAAATTGTAACATTTTGTTTGCATTAAACTGGTGAACTCATTTAAGGTTCCCAGTGTGCTGCATGCGATCGCTGCTTCACCTAAACCCCGGCTGGCCAGACGGACAGGTGAAAAAGCTATAAAAATCAACATTTTAACACAGGAACTGCACTAAAAGGGGGTCTAGTAGTTACTTTTATATCATTGTGCTCTCTTTGATAATGTCTGCTTTCCCCTGTACCACTCCTGTTACGACCTACACACAAACTGTATCGGCTTATGTGGTAATGAATTTCCAAAATATAAAAGAAACGCACTAAATTGTACTGCATTGTATTGTATTTTATTAATCTCAGTTAGTGGCCACAGTGAATTCCACTCATAAATTATTTGCTGATTATATCACCGAAACTGATGACCTTTATTTGGTTAGTTCAATTTCCTGATGGTAGAATATAGCCGCCAAAACGCAAGCTATTGTTTAATTAAACACATTTCCTTCTTACCGAGGGGGGTGATGGAGAAGGAAGAGAGAGGAAAGAAAAGGTATTCTCACAAGAGAGCCGTGAGCCGCACTAAAACACGCGATCTGACTCGCCAACTGTAGTTTGGCCACCATGCTCTATACTGTAACAAACATATCACTTGAATCATGCATCCTAGAAAGAGGGCACGATAGAATATTTAGTTTCTAGTATGTGTAACTGCCCGACATTTGCAAAGAAACATTGTGCGTGCTAGTTAGTTTTAGCTGTTGGTGCCTTGACCTTCCATTCCTTGTGTTTCATTGCATATTTTTCGGTCGTACACGGTCCATTCTGGATATCCACAGGATGACAAGAAGGCAAAGCGGCAGCCGGCGGGAAGCTGTCGGAATATGGCGTCTATAACCCTCCTTTCGAAAGACCCTGCTAAGCGTTTTAACCTGTTTGTTTCTTCTTCTGCTTCCCTATCTGTTGTTGAAATACATTCTGTAGTTGCGCCTCCTTCTGCCGTGTTCTCTCCCTTCAACTCCCGTTTTGTGATGGTTTCTTCTGTTGTTGTGATGCTCTCTTTGGCTGCTAGTTTCTTCACAGCGTCTTCCTCCTCTTCTGGTGCATTTGTTTCAGCCTCTCGTACTGCGGCCTCCAGTATTACTTGTAACTCATTACTTCTCAGCCATAAGTCGCACTCTTTAAAAGAAATGATGAGGTATCAATTAATTACAATGTCTTCATTCATATTTTGGGCGACTTTACACCGTGGGGCTTACAATATACTACTCGAGCCCGTAAAAAAAGAGTGTAAATAAAATAAAAAAAGTATATTAAATTAAGAGCTTGTTTCATCGTGTGTGTGTCAGAAATGGGTCAATAGTGGAGACGAATTAGATAAGAATCCTCAAAAGCGCGCATGTAATGCACTCTTTTGGTACACTCATTTGTACCTAAGCCTTTCGTGCTTTCAACCAGAATTATGAGGTATTCTTTACAAGTAATGAACATCCAATTAACATTTTTGTTGCAATAAAGCCATATTCATTCATTCAATCAACATATTATAACGTATACTATAGAAACTGTGTACATTGAATGACATCACGTGCAATCCCCCCCCCCCCCCCCCCCACTGCGCTCTAGAAAACCAAACAAAATAGCAGTACGCAATGTGAGCAATATGTTAAAGAAAGCATAAGTACTCGAACTGAAAAAGTCTGCGATCAGGTAAACATTCTTGGTGCTTTAATTACATAGTAATAATGAACGCGCTTAACACACAAAAAATCACTACACTCACTGTCACCTAAAGGAAAGCAGGTTTTGAGCCTAGCTCATATGCTGCGCTAAACAGCTCCTACAAAATGCGGCTGTCGGAGGAGAAAAGGCTGTATTTTGCGGTTTTAAACAAGCACGTTTTTCTAAACAAAAAAAAATTATAGCTGGCTTAGAGAAGAATTACTGAATACCCCGGAGGCTAAATAAGCCGCGTCTGGCAGCCTGCTATAACGTCAGTCGGTGTATTGTCGCCAACACAGGATACCCACTTTCTCTGCGTGTATTTGCACAGGTTCTCACAAAAAAGCAAATAACTTGTGTCTCAGCGAAGACTTTAGAAGAACATTAATAATAGGTCGGCTTAGAAAAAAGATATACTTTCAGAGACAAACTCGAGCCATGGCGGTGATCAAAGACTGCAAAAACATGTTTTCAGCTAACTTATGGACTACAATCTGCTAATCAATGTTTTAATTAGTAAAAAAAAACATACGATTACCATAAGAAGCGTGTTGAGCATCATCTAAACCATTAAATCAATTAATTTTAGAAAGCCATAACGATGGCGCATCATTTTCCGGCGTTCCGACAGGATGCTCAATTTTGACGCCTTTCCAGGTTTCAGTCTCCTAGATTAAACGGGAGCCTCCCGTTTCATCTTTAACAAATATCGCCGCATGGATTCTCCTACTAAACTATGTGAGCTTGCCAAACTTCCATCACTTTAATCTAGAACTAAGGTTAATAACATAAAATTTATTTTCGCCATTATTTATAATCACGGTAAAAATCTGACTACCATGAAATCCGCAAAAGAGAATCATAAAGGCAAAGCAATATCATGTTTATTCCAAACCCATCTGTTTTTAATGACTGTTTTAGTTTTAAACCCAGTTTCTTCCCTAGAGCAACCGAAGGTTAGAATGCTTCACCCCGTAAATGCTGTGTTATGTGAATTTCTCAGTGTATTCTTTAAATGCATTGAAAACAATAGTTTGATGGCCACTACATATCACGATCGGGAGATGAAATTTTTGTATTGTTCTTGAAAACGAACATGTGTGATCTTTTTTTAATCCTAGGATATTTTTTTCTTTTTCATGTATATTTTGATTACTCATGGCATGATGTTGGCGTTTGTTACTGGGCGACGGTTTCGTTGTATATTTATTTAGGGTAATGTGTATATTTTGTCGTTTGCATTATGATTTCCACCAGCCCTCACGGGTAAACAGTAACAATAAGTGAATAGATTAAATGAAATGAAATTGCAGTTAGTACTTGGGGCCATGTTTGACGAAATGAGCTTTACGTTCAAGGTGGACACATCTGTACCCTTCAGAAGCCGAGGATATTACTAACCGAGGGATTTAGTGTTACCTAAGTGTATTGAGCAAGACTCCTAGAAGTGAACCTTCAGAAGTAGACTTACTTGGCCTTAACGAAACATTGCAATGCGTACGATGAAAATAAATAAGAGCACCGAACACAAACGCTCCCTAATTCACCACACAGCTTCCTTCATTTGACAGTCCCGTATGTTCGGAATCTTGATTAACCTTAAAATTATTTCGCTATTCCATAAAAAGGTATAGCGTCTTTACAAGTGCAAACAATGCAAGTATGTCAAATCGTGAAATTGATTTTGGTTTATGGTTATTTAGCTTACCTTTGTCTATTCTAAGGACGTTACATTCCGGTTCGTTGTATACTACATAGAAGTCAATATCAGTCCGCACTTGTCCTCCGAACAATACAAGTTGAGGCTCCCAGAGCTCAAGATAATCTTCATCTTCATAGTCTTCACCATTCGCTGCGTGAAAAAATACTTGGCACAATATATTCTGTGGTGGCATTATATGGGCAGGTTGGATAAGCGTAAAAGATTAACTTACCCTCCTGAAAAGGTATGCTTGAAGGATCGCAATCGTCGTCATTATACCTGATATAATTGTTGCTTCCCTGAGGAATTGTATGTGCTTTTGGAGGCTCTATTAGAAGGCAAAAGAAAACAACTCGTAATTTTTTGTACTCTTCAAGGTGTTAGGCAACAGCTAACTAAAACTACAGGACAATATACACAGAATGTTTCAGGGATTTATATACCCTGTTTGAAAAAAAGCCGTGATTATAGGGATAATTGTCACGATATGTCAGTTAACACAAATAGTTTATTGACATTTCTAATGTTGACAATACAAATGTGGCAAAAACTTGCTGAGCCGCATCAAAACAACGAAATAAGTAAATTTTAGAAATATTTGGGGCGCGTGTGAGGCATGGTTGTACACTACAGTTTCAACTCGTGCAACAGGCGCAAGCCGAGTGGTGCCAAAACGTGCTAGCGCGATTTTCCGTTTCCAAAAATTAATGTTTTCTCATCGAAAACATTGCGCCCGTTGCACAAGTCGCAAATTTCGCCCGTCACTGCGCTTCGCATATGCCCCAAGTGTTTCTAAAATGTACTTGCATTGTGGTTTGTATGACACTAAGCTATTTCCTAGCGAACAATATGTTTATGTTTGACTAATTATAAAATAATTTCCGAATTTTAGGGAATTATTCCACGTATCTTTGCAAATATCCCCCTACGTTATGAACACCTATAGAGCCGTGTAATACACCAGCGCAGACAGCATCAACTTAGCTTTCACGGCATTTTTAAAAAAATCTGTCAAGCCGAATGAAAATATATCTGTATTTTCTTCAAATGTGCGAATTGGAAGTTCCCTTTAAACATCAGTACAATATATGCCTCGGAATTACGAGGAGCATAGTGTCTATAATATATACTGTGGCCATCAATTCGCGATGTCAGTTTTGTTTTAGAAGCCTTAATCGAGGCTTATGTGCTCCACAATAATTGAAACGCAATACTTTTTAAGGATATACTGCGTAGACGTGCGCTTTGTTATTTTATTTTTCACTACACACATAATAAAAAGCATCGTTCCCTTAGATATTCCAATATGTTTGGAAAATGTGTTATACAGCTTTCTGTCTTTGTGGTCTGAAATTTATTAAAGACAATGCATTACTTCTAAAACCAATGACTTGAAATCACCAATCGTGCGTTACATACCGTTAAAGCTTCCACGAATAACATTTTCAATGGTATAGTCGTTTTGAACAAAAAATCTCATCCACATCGTTGCATTCCAGCTGAAAGTAAAATAATCTGTCACAAGATTAATCCTTATATTTATTTGGCTACAACAGGCACCAGCGGCCGTGACCCAACACTTAGTATTGCCCGGGACTAAAGTCCGCTAACCCGGTCATTGTTTTGCAATTACGGTTTAATCTCCGAATGTTCAAGGGGTCTTCCTCTTCTCATGACTAAATGGTCGCCTTTCTCTTTTTCCTTTGCCATTCTTCCACTTTTTCTTTTGATTAAATGCACTATAATACAAAATAAATTCAACAGTTAACATTAACCATGTTGAATATACCTGAGACTGGGGTAGAAAAAAATATTACTTTTTGCTAGGCTTCTATCCAATGTTTTTTTTTTAATTATTCATTGGGCGTTTCTTTGGTTGATATGTATTAGATTGAATTATCAAATGAATGGGAACCACCTGTATGAATATATTTGGTATTTGTATTTTGAATAATTCACTGTGTTATTTAGTGTTTTAAAACAAAATAGGCATACAAAAAATAAAAAGTTTATGATTCATTGTATTCTCAGACTTTGTTGTTTTTGAGCCATTGAGCCTAAATCAACAAAAATGCCAGTTACTTTCTAGAGTTCTTTATTTGTTACCTTATGACCATCCGATCAAGAGCAAGATATGTACTGCATAGATAGCAGCTAAAATGGTTTCGAGAGTAAATATCGGGTTATATCGAACTTCTGATAATATACTCGGAGCCAAGAAAGGTGCACAGAATTACATTTGGTGTTCAAAATCACGAGCAACAAAATTCGAACCTTGTGTAGATATTTTATTTCTCGGGTGACAAAATCTTCGTTTCATAAATACTGGTTCAAAGTAACATTTCAAGGGCTTCTGGTAGGTTCAGCAGAGTCACCATTACGTCAAAGTGTTTCAGTGAGCTCTTTATCACCCTCTAGCTCCCATTATTACACGTTTATTTTATCAGTCAGACACTGACCTAGTTTCAGAAAACAATAATTGACGAACCTAAATCGATTTCCGCGGGGGCCAAACGGCTCAGCCTAGACCAAATAGAACTTCATTGAAACCGTCCTCAAAATTCCAAACAAATTGTAAATAAGTCATGCTTTATCTTTTGAAGTACTTACAACGTTTTCGAAGTATCATTGTAATAATTCATTGCGCAAGTAGCGGTTTTGTTCTCTGGGTCTGTTATTTTAGCTCTTAAGGACACACATTTTATATAGTGGTCGTGAAGTTGTTTTGTGCGGAACATCAGGTGGTATGTTTCATCGGAAGACATTCCTAAGCTCTGAAAAATATAAAAAAATAAACTTTTTTTATATTATAAAATATTTCTAATGATGAAGCAAAATTATTTTTGTCAACACACAATGTTCCGCTTAAGCTCACTTTGTATTAATAGTGATATCTCTATGACATTGTGGAGCTACACATCGGCCGCGTCGAGAGTCGTGATGAGGCATTTCAGCTCATCAAACCGCGGTGTAATCGTTTTTTTCTTTTCTAATAAGTATTGATAGTGACGCCTCCTTAGAATTAAAGCGCACATATGTACGCGGCGAATGATTTCAGTATTGGCTGAGTAAAAATTAGTACGGAAAAATTGTTTCAGTAAAAACGCATTCGGTTCCACAGATATATTAAAATAAACGTTTATTAAATGAAAATCAAAAAGTTACACATTGAGTGATTACGGTTTCAACCCAGGATATTAAGTATATATCGGATGCAATCAAGGCAAACGGTCGGTCTACTTAACCAGAAGAAAAAAACTCGCGCGTAAACTCTCCAGGGTAAAAACGTTGTCATATGATAAAATCACTTAATAAAATTGAATATTTATTCTCCTGAAACACTCCATTCATACGTATAGAAGCAAATGAAGATTTGGTTCTTGATGCGAATTCTTTGCCTCGCTCGTACACCTGCTCTGGTCACATGATCCTACAGGTGCACAACAGATTGAAAATTGTGACCCCAAGATGCCTTCCCAAAGGACATTCACCTAAAATTAGTTTTTCTTTATATATAATTGCGCTCACATCACGCTTATGGTCAGCGTGATCGAAACAGCAAAGAACATACAGGCGAGCTGGGAAACTTTTAGCATCATCAAACCCCGAGGCCAAGGAACAAAACATGACGATTCACAAAGAGGCCTAAGTTATTGGCGATGAGCAGGAACGTGAAAATTTAACAAAATAAAACTATAGAATGAAACTTTCTAATACTGATGAACGCTATCACGAGTTTGTGGACACAGTTTAAATAAAAAATTACTAAAAGGCGTATGCCGCCCTCCACTCTCTCTCTCTCTTTTTAACGACATACCTTCCACAGATACTGAAGAGGCCCAAGCGCCGCATCGTTGAGGAACGGGTTGTTTTCCGGGTTCTTTATGATCATTTCTGTGGTCCAACGGAACCGGCCGCAATGAGCCGTGGAAATGCATGCCAACAAAACTGCGTACAGGAGCCCCATAGCAAGTGGTACGACTCTGACTCCCCTCCGTTTGGAAATCCGCGGAGCACACATGTTATAAAGAATATGCGTCTTATTCTTGTTGTTATTTCGAAATCCGCTTCTTTTACATTTATTTTTTTGTATTGGAGAGTGTGGGTGTGATCAGGCTTCTTTAATGCACTGTAAAAAATAACTGTGTAAAAAATAGAAAAAAAAAGGTTGACAGATTTCTTGCCAGAAATTTTCTGTTTTCGTCTGTTTCTCTATGTCCGTAATTGATGTCAAAAACTTAACTTTTCTGTTCTTGTCCTTTCTGTAAAATGGCTGAATTTCTGTTCCCCAGCCTTTTAGAAAAGCAGTTTCGGTTCATCCGAAACTGCTTTTCTACAAAACCACACAACTTCAACGGGTTTTTAAGTTTCGGTTTCAAAGAGGAGCGCTTCTCGGCACCGACGGCACCGCGCCCCATGGAGAAATTGTGCAGCCTGTCCCTGCTGTGTTATGTTACCATTGCTGTGTTGCGGGGGGACAACGAAGCAGAAGTTGGTGGCACTATTTCTCATGGGGCCCGGTGCGCCGGCGCCGAGAAGTAGGGAGGCTCTCGTGAGGGTGAGCGCAACTCAAATCCTGGAGAGCGTTTGCAATTTAATGGTGGCGTCTGAGGAGGAGGATTGGGTAAAGATGTGCGCCTATGTTGCCTGCACGAGAGCAGACGCTTGCTCTGTTGCAATTGTGTTCCCCCGTGCGCCTTTCCTCCACTCGCTTCCCCCTGCAAGCAACGAACGCCTTGGCGTAGCCTTTCTTGTTTCCGTCTCGCTTCGGGAATCGCAAACGTCGAGAGGAGAAAGCAGGGTTGCCAGACAAGCAGCAGCGTCTAAGATGGCGGATCGGAACAAAACGGGGGCCATAGAAAATTAATCATTCACACATTACGTAAATTATTCAAGCATATTAATGGGCTCTTAAGGCCTGAGTTAGGAAATAAAACGACCCTTTGCACCGTAGACTCGCAGAAAATTTAGCAATTAAATGGCGTCCATATCTTGTGATCCCCGATCTAGCAGTTGCGCCCACTCTCCCTAGAACCTCCCTACCGAGAAGCGCTCCGATTGCAATCCGAAACTTAAAAACCCATCGAAGTTGTGTTGTTTTTCATAAAGCTGTAAAATGCATCGCGGGCATTTTATCGCACTCCATTTTTTGTGTGTGTGTTTTTATGACGCTTAGCAAATTTCCAAATGAAACAATGCCCTTAAACTAAATATTCAAAAATTAATTATGCAAAAATAATTAACAACTGAACTATTTTTTGGTGCGATCCGTAGTTTTCGCAATATCAAATTCATCCGCCTTTCTTGAAACACCCCGTATAAGTATAATATATATTGTATTCTTAATGAAGAAACTGAACTTCATTCCTCATGAGTAAATTCAAAAGAATATATATTAAATTCTTAATGACAAAACTCTAACGCATTCCTAATGAGTAAATTCATTCGAACCTATACTGAGCTTCCTATGACCAATTTCAATTCATTACTAATGCGTGTATTCGATAGAATCGATATTGAGTTTTTATGGCAAAACCCAACTGGGCAGTCCTAATGACTTGATGCAATGGGAATGATGTGGGGTTTCTTATGATCAAACTAATTAGACGTTGAGTTTATATTGAGTTTCAATTGTCACTAAAGGAATCCATTAGAAATTCAATTTAAACTGATTGATCATATTTGTAAGGGCCGAGTTCCAGACCCAAACGAGCGCTCGCTATTTGCCATAATAATGGTCTATAGACTCAAGCATTGTTTAGCAAGCTCACGGCATGAGTGGAACATTTCGCAGTGAGCAAAGAAAATGGTTCTGTCCACCTCCCGTTGAAGTTTCCGTAGCCGTCCCGCTGCCAACCTACGGCCAATGACTAGACGTGGCGTCGCGGCGTCTCCCAGAGACCGCTTGACACTCTTGAACAAAGTGCTAATAATTGAAACACCCATCAAGAAAGTTATTAAAAGCTTAGTTAAAGCGAACGTCGGAGAAAGAATAATTACCACAACGAGGTAGGGCAACCATATCGGTGGGCCACCATGAGGAAAACAACCAGCTCTCTATGGACGGCCATCAAAAAAAGAAGTAAACCGGCAGATTTCGGTTGGTATACCAACCGAAATCTGCCGGTTTAATTCTTTGTTTAATTCCTGTTTTGGTTTCGGTAGATTTTGGTTGGTATACCAACCGAAATCTACCGAAACCAAAACAGGGTGTCGGGCATTTGGCGCTAGCTATAGCAGCGCCACCCGCCAAACACCCTGTTTTGGTTTCGGTTTTGAGAGATTAAGATTAAGTGATCGCTTTATCGGATACACATAATACTTAGAAGCACTAAAATTGTCGGAACCTTCAGTTGAAAGATAGATTGGAGAGATTACTGTCTCTCGCCTTGGTACAAAATCTGCCGTCATTTGCTTTGTGTGTGTGAGTTTTTGTAGCAAAATTTGTCGTATTTTTAACATAATTATTTTTAGTCTTGATTAAATGTAAGGATGGGCTACTTTAATTCACAGTATCACTGAAGTTGTTTGTGTGCCTAAATTCTGTCCCCTTACATATCGATACTTGGCTCAGATCTTGAGCGATATCAAAATAAAAGTCCACGGCGAGATTGATGCGTTTTCCACGCATTGGAGGTAACACGCCAAACGGTTGCCTTTCTTAGTACCTTACAAATGACAGCGGCACTCCTCAAACACATGCAGCATGCTCACGATGGTACCTTTTGCAGGCGTTTAGTCGTTCGGTGGTTGGGAAGTAAGCACAAGTGATTGCAAGCCTGCCATAGATACCCTCGCGTGGATGATGCCCGTGTTTAAGCAAAGCCTCCTTTATTCTACAAAACCTGTCAAATCGCGAAAGACTTTGGTTTTAGGCTTGTCGCTGTCGTTTGTTTCTGTTGGTCGCTCTAGTGGGACTCGGGCATGAACATTTCACGGCGATGCGGAACGCGAACAGTTCGAATGCAGTCTGCTTTACCAACACGCCCCGACGAGCTGCCTCCCTCTGCGTATGCGCGTTTTTGTGGCAACCACATTGCCTCTCGATGCACAATATATTGGCTTTCTTGTCGGTACCTTTTCCTTGCCGTGGTTTTGTCACGGATCAGAATAACGATTCGGGACAGTGGTTAGCCGTTCGAAAACAAACAAATGTTCGGGGATAACGAGTGCAGAACAGAATTTATTTTGTCAAAAATCCAGCACCAATGTCGACAAAAAAAAATATCGTGTCTGTCCAAGATAGCTGCTTGGCAGATTATCCGGAATCGTGCAAAGCGACTCTGGTGATTCCGCTGGAATGCTTCGATGAAATCGCTATTCCACGGCGGCCTCTTTCTGACAGATGTTCGGTCTGTTATAATCATAGACATTCAGGCTGACTCAAGAAACTGACACCAAAACGAGCGGATGATGCCTAGTTACGCAATGTACGCGGTTGAAATTGTAGCGCACTTTACAGAATCCTTGCAAACAATGCAGCATTCAGCTCCACTTTCATCGCGTACCGCTACCATCGTTTACCTAGTCAAGGCACCGCAGTTTAAAAATTTTGACCTGCTAATGGTTCAAAATTTTTCCCTGCGTCCGCCGTTCCCGTACATTTGACGGCGCTTGTTGTTACGATCGGGAACGTCTGCCAGTGCATACGACTAGCACATGATAATATACACCACACACATTAGGTCATCCTTGGTTCTAATTACTTCTACCCTTGGTGCGTCATGGAGATTTCACCGCCGAGGTTGTGTGACGATGCTGACCAAGCACTCTGGGTTGCCAGGGGAAACACTTTTTTTTTTTTTTTTTTTAATAAGGTTTCGTTTCCTCCGTTGCGTTCGGTCTGAGCTCAAAAATGAAATTGTGTTATAGGGGTTGCACCGACTAAATCCAATAAAAATATTAATAAAAAATATCATTACGTGAAGTGACGAGGCAAGTTTATCAGATTGATGCCGGCTCACAACCGATGCAAAGCCAGACATTAGGTGCGCAATCGGGCAGCGTAGAGAGCCGTTGGAAATGCGTAGAATAGACACTTGCGTATTCGCTGCACCCGTCGGTGACCAGAATCTTTGGTGTTTTTGTGTGTGAGAATGTGAGGATCAATGCTTTATATGTGTTTTGTGCCGTGCTGTCGAAAAACTTATGCCTGAGAATAGAAGGTTCACATATTCCCCTTCCCAAGCGACGAGCAACGGCGTATTCAATGGACTAAGGCAATTCCAGAGGAAGTAGTGCAAGGTGCGAGCCCTTCGAAGGTATGTTGGTTTGGCAGATTTTTGTTTTAGCCTGGCACTCTTTTACTTCCGAATTGTCAGTGTGCCCAAAATAACAATAGTATAGTAAACACCTCAGCTATTTTTTTTCCCAAGGAGGAATAGTAGTCATTTTTGGAACGTGTTACTACTTCGAAAGTATTTTGAAATATTATGTTGGTTTTAGCATGCGAATCAGCTGGGCAGAGCATTTTGCTTTCTGCCCTAGCTTTTGCATTTGACATCGCGGACTATGATTCAGCACCGCTGTCGTCGAAGACTCCGATTCTGACCTACGTGGCTGGGTACTTCGCCTCTAAGACTGTGAAACGATTCAAGTGCGAATACCGCAGGGAACATATGGCTCTGGAGAAGGCACTTCTTCACGATGCATGCAGTGGTCTATCATCTGACAGATGTTTTAAATTGAGCGCGACTGCCCCTTTGAACACAACATGTCGTCAGTCTGATAATTCATGCTGAAGTTGATGTGAACAAGCTTATGTCGTCACAGCACATCGCTTAGTTCTCAAGGTTGCGTTATTAACGAAATGATGTAATGGGCGTTTGGGTGGCTACGGAGGTAGAGTTCGAAGAGTTGTAACTTGTGTAAGTGAGTCAACAAATAATCTCCTCAACAATGTTTGCAAATAGAAAAATGTTGCCTTAGGCAGGATGCAAGGTCAGCTTAAACCAGGAAGCAACTATCTGTTTTCCCCAAAACTTTAGCGCTTTTCTCAAAATAGACTGTGAGGAACCACGACATCTCCGTAAACCGGCATGCTAAAAGCCAAAACGGAGGCAAAAAGTAAGCTGACGCATGAAACAAACTATGCATTTTGTCACTTTTTTTCCTTACATCACAGCCTTCTAACACGCAGTCAATAAATCACAATTTGTGTACCATGTGCTTGTTTTGCTCTATTAAAACAAACTTTTCTTTTTAATAATACAATTGACTCCTTGATGGCCAAGCAGCCACTTACATTTGTAGATTTCAGATACAAAAGTGGCCGTCCAATCTGTTGTGTAAGGTTGAGAGCGTCCTGCTACTCTTATTTTACCTTTCAGGAAACCCCCTGGAAGGTGCTAGGCCTGATATACTACTTCACATATTTTTTAGTTGTCGGAGAAGCATGGACGACGCTCAGTACACACATAGTACTCCCAAGTTGTAGCACATTTTGTTTTTTTGTGATCGACCTTTTTACGCGTAAAGTTTAAAATGCTGAAAGTGAAATAATAAAATATTATTTTCACTCCCACGCACCTTTTTTTATCACTCTGAGCAATGATAACGATTGCAATCAGCTTTAATTTTACCTAAAATTTTAGGTAAAATTAATTTGTTTGCAGAACAAAACTTTCATCTGAACTGTCCGCATGGCTGCTTATTTTTTTTCAAAATCTCGTTTCACTCGCTTCTCAATACTGCGCCGTTCTCTTTGGTGTTTTTTTTTCGCTTTTCGTGTGCATTTTGGAATTTAGAAAATTCAATTCCCGCGTCCTGTTTTTTTTTTTTTTTCAAAATATATCCAGAGAAACAAAGATATTCTTTTCTGCCGCCATACACTTATATAAAAAAACGTCGAATTCGCGGGAGGAAGAGAAACCCCGATATAACACATTCAAATTAATTTTTATCACGTTTAAATGGTCTCAGCCGTTGAAGCTGCATTTGTGCGGAAACTGAGCATTCGGCAATGCGTGGTTTAATTTATAGCTCGGAAAAACACGATTTGTTTCCCCGAACATATGGTAGATGCATACGTTTCGGATATATGGCAGTCGTTAGATGTCTCCAGAGATTGCTTCATCTTATATTAAACTCACCTTTATTCTGCCATCCACAAATAAAACTAAATATTCCTACATCCTCCCGGGTGTCGGTCATCAAGGTTTTATATTCCAATAAGCTGTGATCACACATTTTATGAGCCAGACCATTGTGTTTACAAGAAGCTCACATAAAAAAAAAGCAAACTATTATCGCTCTTCTCCTTTCACGTTTATTTTTGTACATAATTTATATGCACAATATTTTGGCACATAAGGCATGCAAGTTCGTCTTTTCTTTACAGAGGCGTCCTAGATTCTGCACACTTGCACCGCTGCCACAGTGGCTATGGAACCGAAGACGGCTGAAACCGGCGGCAGGCTTACTACCTGGATGAGGTACCCTTCACCACTCAAGTGGAGTTCCGGACTTTTGTTGGAATCAATGAGATTCTTACAGACTCCCAAATGATGACCGCGCAAACAAACAAGATTACACTGACCTACACTGAAAGCTCCACAGCCATCTGCGCACTACTCAGCCCACCACTCAGTACACGATCAAGAGCGGGTGTCGCATGATCAAAGACAAGAACGACATTGTAGTCCGAATAAAGTGGGTGCGTGGACACTCCGGTCAGGCGGACAACGAGGCCACTCACGACCTGGCGAGCGATGCTTCACTTCTCGTGACTTGCAGGGAGTGCCGATCTCCCGTGCGGCCCTCGACCAACGCCCGGAGGAAGGGAGGAGAAGACCAAAGCAACATTGCGAAAGGAGACTCCACGATCATGTGATTCCCCTCGAGAATCCAATACCCAGATGACTACCTCGAAGGGCCCAAGTGCATGTCACCAAAGCACAAACGAACTTCGCCTTTGATGAAGACGGGGGGGGCGAAGTACGTTGCGGCAGCTGATGTGATTATCAAGACCCCACCATCAAATATCTCGTCTGGGCGTGTGAAGGACTCAGACACCGGACAAAAACACCACACAACGGGTACGTCTTCGTGGGAAGAGTCGTCAATCCGTCAGAGAACCAAAGGAAGACTTTGCTCGTACTGTGGAGCCCGGCATGTGAAGTCTTGATCATGCGATGGAACTAATTCCCAATACCCTTTCGCTCCCTTTCCCAAAAAGGCAAAATCGCCGACCCCTTCGAAATAAATTAATTCATCCTCCTTGTTATTTTAAGCATTTTGCAAACTGATTTATACATTTTAGTTGTTAGCCCTTCATATATTCTTTAATTTGTTAAAATCTTTTGAGTTTTCTTAAACGAACACCATGTTCCTTTTAGGTTTATGATGGCAATATACATTTTTTACCATTTGTTTCACACGCATGTTTATTGATTTGGATTTCGAAGAAATCGCACGAGGCAGCTTTCCGCCGTATTCTCCGGATTCTCCCAAAATTATTCGCAATGTATAAGATGATGGCGGGCTCTAAGTCTTCACCTACACCTAAACGTAGATATGTAGAGTTCTGAACTCGACGAACAAGCTACAGTGCACAACAGTGAGGCTGTAATTATATTGCTTCCATACGTGGTGTTAGTCATCTCCCTCTTTTTATGGCTTACTTCAAGTCTCTATTTCATGACCTTTTCACTCTTAATCTTATCATAGATTTGCGTTTCCGGGTCTCCACAGCTCAATAGAAATGCTACACGGCAGTTTCTGGGAAGTTTCCTAAATAATTTAAGATCCAATTGGTCTTCACCAGGTATGCTGTCCTTAGTGTTTTCGTTTTTGTCACACTCTTCTTGTTGTGGTTCCGCCTGTAGCTCTGTTAAAGTTTTATTCAACAATATTTCACTCAGCCAGAACTCGCAAACTGCAAAGAAATTGAGCAATACTTTCAAAACGAAAGGTATGGTAGGCGCTTTGATAGCATTCAGTCAGAGAAGAATTTCAAAGTTGAAGCAAATATGTGCCCTTATGGGGAGAACATAGTGGCTAACATGAAGGGAGCGAGACGGAACGTAGGCGCCCACGAGTTCATTTCGGGGTTTTCTCAGAGGAAAAATAAAAATACGGCAATGTGCTTGCTTCATCAAATACCGTGTAAATGTTAAATTAATATTTATAGCATGCAAGACTTCTCTCCCCAATATACTATTTTCCGCTAACTTGAATTTAATGGTGATCCAAAGTTGAGTACACTAGGGGTTTGCGCAGCCTTGAACAAGCATTTCCGTCTCAAATATGACAGTTTCTACGGGGCCGAAAGCGTGAAATCAAATCCTAAAATATTATGCGAATAATTCGGCGGGCAATACAAAGTAAATCAAAAGTAAGAATTAAGCGCTTGTCTCTAAACGAAAGCTTTCTGGGCCAATATGCGTTTGTGCCAACAGGCAATTTAGCATCGCTGCAACGCCATTCAAATACGTTTCCTTGAAGAACGCTTCTAACGTTTGGCGAATTCCGTAGTGAGATAAAAATATGTTTATTTTTTCAATTCCTGCCTAATTGTCGTGGTAAGCTCATGCACTACTAGATGCAAAGGAGTAAACATAATATCCTCGAACACACAGTGTCATGAAAGCCTATATTAAATTTTAGCGAAACCTGCTCAACACATCAATAGCGTTCTTCCAAAACCGACGCGCCCCATCGCGGCAATATACCACTCAGTGCAATCTGGGAACTAGTTCGCCACTCAGTTTCGGCTTCGACTCGGCAGCTTCATCTTATGCTATCACGCCGCGAACGAACGCGCTGCTCGCTTTTTCGATGATCTGACCTTTTACGAATGTAGAATACACTCATTCTCGAGCGATACAAAATGAAGACCGGGGCACTCTCCTTGGTTACCGAAACACCGGATATTGTGCGTGCGTATGCAAACGTAGTAAGACGTGACTCAGTCACCTCACCCCACGAGTGCATCTTTGAGCTCAATTTTAATAATCTCGTCTAGTAGCAGTGGGCTACAACTGAAATTTGGTCACCTTGAGCCTTACACGTATTTTCTTTGCCAAACGGTTGCTTCTTGTTACTTCATTGCGCGAAAAGTAAGCCACATCCTCACAGGAGTATCAAAGTTTAGCCCAGCGTTGACACGTGAGCTTTTAAGGAAACGCAATAAATTCAACCTCACCACTGCACAAAAGTTACTATGATGTCTTCCTCGTGTCATCATATATCTCCCACTCAAATTTTATGCGGATAGAAGACTAAGTTTTCGCAAACGCTGAGATCGGGTAGTTACGACAGAGATAACAAGCATCCCCTACTCCTCGGTAAGCCTTTTTGGACGAGCTTTTACTGACACCCAAGACCTGTGCCTGAACGGTGCGTCTGAAATTATCTCGGCGTACTTAGCAAGGAAGAAAGCAAACAAATTACAAATACTATGGCCACTAGCGACCGTCAAATTCGCTTTGAATAATTTTGTTCGTTTGGCGCACCGCACAGGGGTTCATTCCATCCGGCGAACTTCCGGCGAACAGTGCGACATTCTTCACAGAAGTGCTCGAGTTTTGCTTTCTTAAAACGGTTTTATGTGCGAATGTGCCTATATGATTGCAGGACAACTTTATGCGCATACGCAATGTTGAATATTAGTTGAATGCAAGTGGGTGCGGACTTCGCTTCGTGCAGTGCTGCGGGTCAATACAGATGAGAGATAAGATGTGTGTTCAAATGGAGTTTTTGAATGGCGCCTCCGAGTTTTACCTCGCGTACTCAGGCGTATTAAGAAAAACAGTAATTGCAAAAAATTATATTTTGTCTATGGACGCACGAAACAAACAAACTTCCTGATCAACAACACTAATGTAAAGGCGCGAGCTCGATGTAGGCATACTTATTGGTTGCCACAGCTTGTTCATTCGTACACAAGCAAGATCCCCGAGCTTCGCAGCTTCAAAGTTCCCAGCACTGTACTAAGGTTGAAAGCTGGGCTAGTTGGTGATCATTGTACATAATGGAATAAAACAGCGCGAAGATAGAAATAGGAAGAGACACACCAGACAGGACAGAGCGCTGACTCGCAACTACGGCTTCTTTACTCAACGAAAAAGTGAAAGACAAAGAGAAAGAAAAAAGATAAAAATATACAGGAAAAGAAGAAGAAAAGAAAAACATTACTGTACGCAATCACACGCGCACCTTTCACCCATGGTAGCTGACTACGGCACGTGCTGGACACTCATTGTCAACTTCAGGAATTCCAGCTCCTTGCCTGACAACGCCACTGATGCTGCGCTCATACACATTTTTCCTCTACTCTGGATGTGGAAGGCCTCCAGCACCTCGCGTGTCACTTTGTCCGTGTGCCGTCCCAAGATGGTGGTGGAACTAAAAAACGGCTAGCACAGGCAACTCTTTGCAGTGCCTCCACACTCTGGAGGAAAGCTTTAGGCTACAGACGGACAGACTGAGGAAAGCTGGCTATCCGACGACCCTACTTTCAGACGTCGCAAGCAAACTGCTGAAGAAAGTAAAGGGTAGCCAGTCTACACAACGGGATGTGGAACGCAAGCGACCTGTAGTTATCCCGTACTTACACAGGATCTCTCACAATTTAAAAAAATGTTGGAAAACGATATGGAATCGCAGTGGTTTTCTCCGCACCACAAAAAATGAGCCAGATATGCCCCAGAGTTCAAGCGAAGGCAGAGGGAATCGCCAAAAACAAGTGTAGCAAGAAGCACGCCAGGCCGTTCGTCCCATGTGCCACGGGAGTAGTCTACAGTATCCCCCTCTCGTGCGGCTCCACCTACGTGGGACAAACGGGACGGTGCCTGAATGAAAGGCTCCGCGAGCACAGGTACTCCCTCGGAGCGACAGTGGGAGGACACCTATCGGTTCACTGCAAAGAGTGCCTGTGCGAGCCGTTTTTTAGTTCCACCACCATCTTGGGACGACACAGGGACAAAGTGACACGCGAGGTGCTGGAGGCCTTCCACTTCCAGAGTAGACGAAAAAAGTGTATCAGCGCAGCATCAGTGGCGTTGTCAGGCAAGGAGCTGGAATTCCTGAAGTTGACAATGAGGGTCCAGCACGTGCCGTAGTCAGCTACCATGGGTGAAAGGTGCGCGTGTGATTGCGTACAGTAATGTTTTTTTTTCTTCTTCTTTTCCTGTATATTTTTATCTTTTTTATTTCTCTTTGTCTTTCTCTTTTTTGTTGAGTAAAGAAGCCGTAGTTGCGAGTCAGCGCTCTGTCGTGTCGGGTGTGTCTCTTCCTATTTCTATTTTCGCGCTGTTTTATTCCATTATGTTCCCACCACTGGCTCGTCCACATACCTTGAAACGCGAACAAAAAGGCCCAAGTACAAAAATACAACAAGCATGTGTCAACACAAGCTATACGGCTCGGGCTTGTGCAAAAGCTTCGAGGTCTGGCCGTCTAGGCATGGCCAGAAATTTGTGACAAGCTGTTCTAGTTCACTCATTTACCGACACGTGGCGTATTCACCTTTAACTTTTACGTCGTGTGCAAATTCCCGCCAAACCGAAATGCGTTCCGCGTGCAATGAATAAAATTGTGAAAAATAGAAAATAGAGCTACGTTATCAGAGCTTCTCAAACAGTACTACAGAAAGGGGGAAGATCAATTGATGGACAGCACAAAGAACACGCAGAGAGCGTGCTGACGCGGCAGTAAAACCCGCACCAGTGTTGGTGGTTAATTCGACGAGACGGGTTGTTTGTGTGTGTCAGTGTGTGCGTGCGTCCGTGCGTGCGCGTGTGCGTGTGAACGCGCGCGCGTGTGTGTGTGCGTGTGGTGGGGGAGAGTGTAAAAGCAGCCTGTGAGCGCATTTTGAGGCAAACAAACGCAAGACGGGCGCAAAGAGCAGACGAGCACGGTGTATCAGCGCCTCCCGGTTGCAAGAAGTCGATAACACTATTATTCCGCGTTTTCATATCTAGCGATATGGAAGCAAAAAAGTCAGATCTGCGGAAGAATTCCGAACAAGTATTCGAAAAACTACCCGACAATACATATGCGATATTTTTGGAAAGTTGTTTGCAGATTGGCGAGTGTGTCGAGTAAACTACAACAAAAAGGATCCATATTTTGTGTTGCCTAAATTAGGCTTTCATGAACTCCACAACCATCGTATCGCTACACTGCCTCCGCTGAAGTCATCAGGAGCGAAATATTCTCTTTGGTATGACCACTCGCTGTGCTGATGTCTGGCTTCCTTTTTTCTTGGGATTTTTCTTGAAATTGGTAAAACTGAAAAACTCCGAACTGAAATTTTTGAATTAAATGAAACCCCAGGGTAACTGGAAAAATTGCTTTATTTCTGTTGACCCCGAAAACAAACCGCCCTTTTCCGCGAGGCTGCTTCCTTCTGCTGCAATTATTGTTTCTGCATGGGCCACTTAGTGATAACTGGCGCGAATAGCATTGTGTGCTGTAAAAACGCGATAGATGTGCAATAGCTTTTACGACGTAAGCCCTCATAAACCCTGATTTCTGGTCGACACCAGAAATAGATACCGAAAACAGAGAACTTTGAAAAAATGAACACCCAAAGACACCCTTAAATTTAAAAAAAGTATACACAAAAATACGGAACCCTACCTATAAGTTATAACGAAATCTAAAAGCTGCACCAACATATACGAAATCCAGCTTATAATTAGGATTTTGCGTTTTCGGAGTTTATTTTTGCTTAAAATCGCGGAGTGTTGTTTAGTGCTTATTTTTTACCATAAATTCGGAGTTCTTTGGAGCTTTCTTTCATCGTACAGAGTTTTTCGGCTTTTTCGGTGAAGTGAACGAAAGGTTGAAAACAGCAGTTTGTGAATTTAGTAAAAGTATCCTTTTCAATGAGAAACGTGTTCGACGATTCCCCTTTTTTAAAATAGAAGC